TCCTGTGATCCCCCCCTGCTCCACGGGCCCCCCCTGGCACTGCCAGGCTGCCAGACCTCCCCGCAGAGGACAGCAACAGCTTTCCCTCAGCCTCCCCAGCACAAAAACCACACAGGTTAAAGCGTGTTCCTGCTGCTGTGATGGATGGCTTCCCATATATAAAATACAGATATCAAAAAGGCATATGCTTAAAGAGACCTAAACACATCCACGCTTACAGTTTTATACTGAAAGAGGGGAGATTTAGATCAGATATTAGGAAAAAATTCTTCATTGTGAGGTGGCCCAGGCTGCCCAGAGAGGTGGTCACTGCCCCATCCCTGGCACCATCCCAGGGGAGGTTGGCTGGGGCTCTGAGCACCCTGCTCCAGCTGCAGATGTCCCTGCTCCCTGCAGGGGGTTGGAACTTTGGGATTTGGGGGATCTTTAAGGTCCCTCCCCACCCAAAGCATTCTGCCATTCCCTGATTCCATAATACAGCCTCCAAGAGCCCAGCTGAAAAAAAAAAAGCAAACAAAAAGCAGGATCCTGAGCAGCAAACACCCCACGCAGCACAGAGGGGACCTCACAACCCACAACTCTCTTCCCACCACCCCCATCAACCCTCTCCTGGGAGTTGGGGGACGAGCCTCCCCCCAGCCCCTGGCACACTGCCCACCCCCTCCTGGCACCCTCCTTTTTTAGCTGACCTGGGAGAAGAGGAGGTAGCCACACTCGTCGCAGGGCAGCATGTCGTCCACCAGCACCGTGGTCCAGGTGCCATCCTTGCAGAGCCTCACCTGGTAGGCGCCCTCGGGGCACAGGGTCCTGGTGATCATCACCCTCTCCACCAGCTCGGGCCGCTCAGCCAGCACTGCCAGGGCACTGAGGAACCTGCCAGGGTGGGAGGGGAGGATGGGGGGGATGTGGAATGGGAAGGTCTCAGCCCCCCAGCCCTGCAGCACGGGCACCGCCTGGGAAGGGGTGAGGCAGAGGAGGGGGCACACGCCTCGAGGTATAAGGGGGGTCCCCAAGCTGGAGTGGGGGGACCCCAGAGGGGCATGGAGGAAGGGGCAGGAGGGTGCAGCCCCTTACCAGCAGTTCCCCAGCAGCCCCTGCAGGATGTCGGAGGGCCTGGGGGTCCGGAACACCGACCACTTCACCGAGCGGTCCTTGAAGATGCTGCAGTTGATTTCGTGGGGGCGCAGCCACTGCCTGACCCTCTGCTGCACACTGTCCCCCTCTGGGAACCCCACCGACCTGGGTCCCGGGGGGAAACTGTCATCTACAAAATTGACTTTGTTCTGCGAGAGAGAAAGGCGAGGAGAGCGTCAGTGGGCAGCACAGGGGGCTCCTGGGAGGGGGCTGGGCCTGAGCCCCCCCCTCTGCACCCCCAGGAGCTGGCGTGGAGCCCCCAGCCCTCCCTCCTGGCCCCTGCAGCCCCTTCCCACACCGAGCTGGGGAGCAGGACTGGGACCAGTATCTCCTGCCAATGGCACAGATGCATCTGGCACATCAGGTCCAGCTCCCAGCCCCGCCACGAGCTCCGGCCCCCAGCGCTGGGCTGGGACTGAAATCTGCCTTTTGCTGTCTCACAGGGACCTCCCCAGGCAGGGACCGTCTCACACCTCGTGCTGGTGCTAAAAGCTGGACCGTGGGGGGCCTTGGCTGCCACTGCCAGTGACAGAGCACGTGAGCAGCCACCTGGCACACACACACTCCTCAGACCAGAGCCCTGGGCTACGGGCTCAGCTGCCCCTGCTCCAGAGGGGACACGCTGGGCTTGGCAGTCACAGAATCACAGAATCATTCAGGTTGGAAGAGACCTCTAAGATCATTAAATCCAGCCATCAACCCAACACTCCCATGGCCACTAAACCATGGCCCCAAGTGCCACATCTATGTGTTTTTTGAACCCCCCCAGGGATGGGGACTCCAGCACCTCCCTGGGCAGCCTGGGTCAATCCCTCACTGCTCTGCCAGGGAAGAAATTCTGCCTAATATCCAATGGAAGCCTCCCTTGGGGCAACTTCATCCCATTGCCTCTTGTCCTGTCACTGGTGATCTGGGAGAAGAGACCGACCCCCACCTCACTCCAACCTCCTGTCAGGGAGCTGTAGAGAGCCAGAAGTTCTCCCCTCAGCCTCCTCTTCTCCAGACTCAGCACCCCCAGGTCCCTCAGCCACTCCTCACAAGCCATGTTCCCCAGAGCCCTCCCCAGCTTCGTTGCCCTTCTCTGGACCCACTCCAGCAGGTCTTTCTTATCCTGTGGTGCCCAAAACTGACCCCAGCACTTTGTACTTTCCTCTGGAAGCAGAGGTACCCACAGCATCCACAGGCCCACATCCATCTCCCCTGCACACCTCCCACACCCACAGCTCCCCCCCAGCCCCCTCCCGAGGTGCAGCACCACGCTGCTGGCAGCAGGGCAGCGAGCTGGGCTGGGCTGTGACCTGGGCCACGGGCACAACACCCAGAGGAGGACCCAGTAAAAGATGTTCCCTGCCTCCAAAAGAGGTTATTTGCTTGCTTAAAAGAGGGGGATAAGCAGCATCAGGGTCTCTCTGCTGGGAAAACACCCGCAACTGTTAGAATAGAGATGAAGCAACTAAAAAAACCCAACTCCCCCCAGAAAAAACCCTCAACCGCCCCCCTCCCGGGTCCAACACCTCTGTGGGGCCCAGGACGTGCAGCAGAGGCCCAGGCAAGGACGTGCTCCTTGGCCCAGGCAGAAGAAGCCTTCTCTGTACGTCAGGGTGGGATTGCAGCTCCCTTCCCAGCTGGTGCAGAGGAGCTGGAGGCTTCCCCCAGCCAGGGGCCAAGGCAAGAGCAGCGTTCACAGGAGCATCTGACGCCACCCAGGGAAAAAACTGGTGCTGTCAGAGCAGTGGGTGAGACTGAAACCCGACAGATTGAGCCCGAGAGTTCAGAGTGGGAGGGGAGGCCCTCACCTGGAGCCAGGGTCCTGCTAAACCTTCAGCTCTCCCTCCCGAGCCAGGGCCGAGCCACTGGCAGCTCACAAACAGGAGGACGCCAAGGCCCAGCTCACCATTCCCAGAGCTCCTGCACCCACACGTGTCACAGCTGGGGCCACCAGCAAACCTGGACAGGCTCCTTCCCAGCCTTCCCCACCCTCACACAGGGCAGGAGCTGTACTGACCACCTCAGGACGTCCCCTTCAGCCCCGAC